ATTAGTGAAAAGTACAATATATTTTCTGAAATGGAGTAAAGTAGAAGTGTAAAGTAGCTGAGTACAGGTGTAGATGCAACAATAACAAGACTGCATTAATTCAAATATGTTTCTAAGGAATTATATTCTATATCTATTTTAATTTATTCTCATGTAGGCCTACTATGACTGTGTGGAGAGGAAGTCTGTATGCAAATATTTAACTGTCGCTGATGACTTTTCTGATCAAAATAGCAACAGCCAGATGATGGGCTGACAGTGAAGATAAGTGAGTTATTGTCTGTCTGTATATTTATCACGAATTCTGACACTAAGAGACATGTAAATAAATAGTTCAACAAACATCGGTATCTAAGAATAAAGACTATAGGCCCAACAGAAGCTATTGACAGTTGAAATATCAATAAATGAACAGCTACAACTCAACTGCACTATGTGATACAATACGTAGTAAGTCTTACCTGTAGATATTTGTCCAGTTCTTGCCTGTAGCCATATAGCTATCATACCATGAAGGACTCAGATGATTTACTTAAGTACAAGTGTAGAAATACTCTGTTACAAATAAAAAAACCTACATACAAAAGCAACAAAATACACTTAAAGCCCCAAGGGAAACACTACTTATTATGCACCATGACACATTTCAGAATATTGGATTGGATAAATATGGACATCCCTTCAGTGTTGCAGATGATAAAGGTGGACTTTAACTAGCCTACTTTATATACTGCAGGGTAACTCGTGAATGTCCCCACAGGGATCAATAAATTCTCTTAACCAGTACTTAAGTACAGAACTTGAATAAATGTACTTAGTTACATTCCACCACCAGTACATACCACTTCCAGACAGCAGACATGTTTTGTGTTACTACCTGTATTTAAAAAAAAAAAACCCTCAAACACTACAGCTCCCAGAAGGCTTTGTCCACGTAACAATGGCAACGGCTCATGGGACATGTCGTTGTTGAAAGCTAACAAACTAATATTTTACCATGTAAAATGAGGAGATGTTCAATTCTAACCACCCAGTAAAATGTTTCTAAGCTATTTAGCGTGGACTATGCACAGAAAACGTCCCTTATATGTTCCGCAGACTTTGGAGAGAAAAACCAGTTGAGGTATAGGCGATAGCTACGGTGCAGGGGCGGGAATTCATCCGCTGGTGGTGGTGCTGCTCCTGCCGCACTTTGGATGAGTCTCTGTTAAAGACGCCTGGCGATTTAGTGGGGGAGATGAGTAAATATTCCAGTAATTAGTAAAGAGCCAGAGATAAAGTGTCTTCTCTATCGTCGTTACCAGTGATCGCCGTTTAAACTCAAGATGTGTCACTTTTCATTCATAGGAAACGGCTTGGCGGTGCGGTTTAACTTTAATTTAGCTTTAACGGAAAATATCATCAACTTCAATCTAACTGCTGTACACAAAAAAAACACCTCAATAGATAAACCCATTAACATTAAGCTCGATGCTCAACTGATGTTAAAGTAGACTGATAGATGAAAAGATTATACCTATCTAAATAAGTGACAAATGGTATATATGGTAAATAATCAATCAAAGGTGGCATGACTTACCGCCAGAAGAGGTTCTTTGTTTTTCGTGTGTGTGTGCGCGCGCCAGCGAAAGAGACACTGTGAGCACTTCTTACATTGGCAGTCAAAGTCATAGATGAGCTGTTGCTCTGTAACACCTGTTGAAGCCACCTGTCGGTTTATATCTCTACACAGCATTTTGACTTAGCATTCACACTCCATCACATTAGAGCTGCAACTGATCGATTTATATCTGTCGATTAATTTAGTCAGTTATTATTTTAGCCAGAGGTTAAAATAGGCAGTGAAAACACTTAAGCCTATTATAAATTCTTAGAGCCCATGTGATGTTTTGTTTTGTCTGACCAACCGTCCAAAACGAGAGGTTCCGTTTACATTTATGTAAGGCAAGCAAAAGCTGCAAATTTCTACATTTGAGAAGCTGAAACCATCATTGTTTGCTTGTTAAATGACTTATCAGTTGACAAATAGAATATTTGGTTATTAATTTTCTGTTGCTTGACTAACCATTGCAGCTCTATACTAGTAAACTAAACTAGTAAAAATCAATATTTGTAATGCTAGGTGACATCACAGCTGCATACATATTTAAATAGCCCAGGTTGTGCTGGAAAAAATAATATAAATTGCTTGCTTGTCCCTTCCAGTAGCCTACTGAATTTTGACAAACTCCTTAAGAGATCCGAGGCAGCAGTAATAGGAAAAACAAGGGCTTAGACCCAACAGGGTTAATTAATCACCAAAGAATATCCCTTCTTTCCCAAACCAGACAAAAATTTCGTCTCTAATTTGATTATATTTTATTTATAGAATTAATGGTTGATTTGTATGTTTATTTGTTTCATATCAGTCTAAATAGCGATTTTTCTGAGTCACAGAGGTCATGAAATCCTGATTTTTAATCCTTTTTAATCTGTTTTAATGCCCCCTTAATACCTACTGTTTTCAAACTCCACATCTCCAGTATGTAACACAGGCAGATGATATTATCAGGGTTATTTTTTTTTAAACTTAGGGAAAATCTCCCTCCATAGCCTCAGAAACTTTATACAACAGTTTCCACTGGCAGAGTAATTCTCCTCATGATGAGTAAACTGAACTTCATCATTCATAAAATCCCTGTGAAGCAGCATGGCAGTCCAATTTGTCTTATCCTGAGAAATACTGATCCTTTATTAATTTATTTTGGGCTCAAAGTTGTCAAATTGAAATGTATAAAGTTTAAAGTACTAGAATCGGCCGATAAAATACCCATTGTGGTATAGTTTTTTAAATGATAGGATGTGAGGATGTAACTCAAAAAATACAGAGGACATTACCTCAGCATCCTGATTGGACTCCATCAACATGGGGTAAAAGAAAATTATGTAAACTGTCTAATCAATAGATCAGAAGGAGGCATTGTAACTCTTATTTTGCCTTCAATCTACAGAAGCTCAGTAAAGCATTTGAGAAGAGAAGAAGACCTGATAAGGTATAAGGTCTTCTGGTATCAGATAATCCAGATAATAGACATATGCTGCCACCATGTGCTGAGGACCTGAAATGCAGGAAGACAATGCCAACTGCATTACTCTTGCAAGACGTAAAAGAAATACGAAAAGAATATTTATGTATAATAAACTTGGTTTTAACTTTTTTAAATTGAGAACAATTGTAAATACTTAGAACAAGAGGAGAAGATGGAACAAAAAAAAGGCGGTAAAGAATGTAGGTTGAAGTAATATCATTCAATAATCTTAAATTTAAAAAATATTTCAGTTCTTTGCTGCTTTCCTTTATCCAGCTATTGTCACCATCCTGGGTGAGAACACGGAGGTGGTCAACACCTACAAGTACCTGGGTATTCACGTGTGCGACAAGTTGGGATGGGTGTACAAAAAGGGCCAGAGCCATCTGTACCTCTTGAGGAGGTTGAGGTCCTTTGGTGTGAGAGGACAGCTGCTGAGGACTTTCTATCAGTCTGTGGTGTCAAGTGCCATCGTTTATTCTGTTGTGTGCTGGGACAGCAGTATCACAGCCAAAGACACCAACAGACTGAACAAAATCATTAGAAAGGCTGGCTCACCACCATAGTTATGGTGGCAGAGAGGTGGATGCTGGAAAGGTGTCAGCAATCATGAAGAACCCGTCCCAGCCACTCTACAAAACACTGCAGGGACAGAGGACTACATTGAGCAGCAGTCTGCTTCCGCCCTGTTGCAGGAGGGAATGCTTCCACAGGTCATTCCTCCCTGAAGCCATCAGATTGTACTACTCTGCACTCTAATTCATCCACTCCCCTGCACTGGACAGTTTTTCTATTCTGCACTTTGATCCTGTTTAATTCTGGATAAGGGACACACCTGTCAATAAACAGTTAGGGTTAGCCATGAGGTCAAAGGAACTGCCTGCAGAGCTCAGAGACAAGTTTTGTCGAGGCACAGATAGGGGGAAGGCTACAAAAAAATTCTGCTGCACTGAAGGTTCCCAAGAGCACAGTGGCCTCTGTAATTCTTCAATGAAAGATGTTTGGAACAACCAGGACTCTTCCTAGAGCCGTCTGCCTGGCCAAACTGAGCAATTGAGGCAGAAGGACCTTGGTAAGAGATGTGACAAAGAACCTGATGGTCACTGGCTGAGCTTCAGAGATCCTCTAGAAGGACAAAACACAATCTATCTATCTATCTATCTATCTATGACTGATCCCTCTTTTAAATCTGTTTCAATTTGATTCAAATGAGGATTTATGAAAGGGAAACTTACGATTCCTAGTGGACTCACTGGGTGGTACTGAACCAGAAACCCTGAGAGGAACCACCAGCTCACTGAGCACCTTTGGAGTCTGATTATTTAGGCTTTTATAGATTAGTTTAAAATTAGCAAATGAAATGAATTAATCATAACTTAACATATTTGATTTCTTAAGAACATGGCAGTAGTATGATCTTATCAGCTTCCTTTACACAATTTTAATTGCTCATTTATTTATCATCATAAGAGGCTTAGTTGTAGATGCTGCTTGCGACCTCGAAGTTACAATAAACAATATCTTAAATGTGAAAAGATCATAGTGTGATACATATAATAATTCTTTTACATTTACATTTACTCATTTGTCATTTTTATCCAAGGAAACTTATAAGGGAGGGACTCACTATAGCTTCAGTACAGTAGGAGACCTTGGTGTAAGTACTAAGTAGTACATCTGTTCAACAAGTGCAAGGATAATTAAATTGATAAATATCTTATGTCAGTCCGAAGAGAGAGGCAGCATCTGGATAAACTGAATTTACGTGAATTATGCTTTTCCACCACTTCCCTAGCTTAGACTACCTCCTAGTGGTTCAATTTAAAATTACAGTTAAATTTAAGTAGGCGGGGCTTTAGTCCCTTTGGCCCCTCCCTTGCATAGTGAGGGCCCTGACGTAGGCATTCGAGGGTAGCAACAGTTGCCCCGAGACCCCGTCGCGCCATAGTGACTGTAGCCGTGGAGACAGTTACTTACCAACGGGCGCAACACTCAGCAACAGCAGCAGCAGCATCTGGAAGTCACCGAGCGAGTGGGAGAGAGGGGAAAGAGAGCAGAGCCAGAGCAGAACTTTTCTCAAGGCAAAGGTGACTATATCTTTATAGAATTTAGAAAATAATGTTACTCTGGAGAAAAACGCTCTGGGATCGAATGTGTTGCTACCAGTCTTGGTTATTTTCCACAACATAACTTTCCCTTCTTTGTGGCATCCGCCCCAAGTTGAGAACCGCTTTCCACTCATTTAACTGACGTTCACCTATTGCTAGCAACAGCTTTTTACACCTACTGTAAGTCAGCTTGGAGGGGGAAAACCCCATCTATTTCACTTCTGTTACTCATTTTGCTACACTTTGCTTAGACATTATACACAGCGACAGTGTGCAACATCACTTTACACTTGTTGCCATGTTGTGTAGCGTGTGTCGAGATGTGAACGCACTTCCAGCTGAATCCCAGCAGGATGGATGGTTAGGCTATCAGTCAAGCTACAGCTAATGCTAACTTAGACGCTGAGCAGCGATTAACCGCAAGTTCAGTTGTGAGTTTAAAACGTTTGTCACGTTATTAACGGCAGCTCTGTCTTGTTCGACACAACACGGACAAACTTCTTTCTTGAAGCGTTTTTCTCAAGAACCGTGTTTAAGCAGGTGGAAGTGTGGCTAGCTAGCGTTAGCAACGTTGGTTCTGGGGCTGAAACCGTAACTAACGTCCGCTGCGGGCAACCGTGTGCTGAACAGGAGGACAACTTTCATTTCAGCAGGCAGTTTGTTAGCTCCGTTTAGGCGATTTTCATGTCTAAACTTTATGCAAGAAAGGAACCGAAAATGTTACGCATTCGAGCACGGATATATGAACTTCTGCCGGCTTCGTTACGACACTCTCCGTTGCAACGTTAACAAACCTGATGCATCGACTGGTCTCCCTCTTAGTATATTGAACTGTCAAAATGAATCCAATCTCTGTTAATCAGATTATATGAATTGACTATCTAAATAGCACAAAGTAGTTACTTTACAAACTTAAGAAGTTTTAAATATTCCAGAAATAGCTTGAATAACTGGATATGTTACAGCTAGGTGGTGCTGTGATGGTTCTTTTATACTGCTCGTCTTGTTTTTACAGTCTTGGGTGAGAGATGGGGTGTTTTAAAGTGCTGTTTTCTATGTGCTTTTAAAATTAGGCATCAAATAAGAAACACTGGTGCATTGACCCCCCCCCCCCCCCCCCGATTCTTGTCCTCTCACTCATTTCATGACAAGTAAATTAGCTCCATCTTCTAATCTTTCAAGTTTTACTGATGCTTTACCTGTTGGACAGCGCAGAGCAAATTGTTTGCTAATAGCCAAGTTGCACTGCTTCATTGTTCAAGTGGCAGGTCTCATTGAGTTTGTTGTTTGACCTCTCTGTGGAGTTGAAGACTCATATTAATCTAAGCCATAGCAATAATGAGAAACCAAGGAAAAGAAGACCCCCCAGGATTTTAAATTCCCTCTTTCATTCGTTTTACACTGTGGCTGGTTTTCCAGCACTTTGCATACCCCTTTTCTCCTTCTGGGATTCTGTCTCTTATTGTCCCCTGAGATACATTAATTCTAATGAACTATCTTTTCAGAGACAGCTGCCAGGTGCTCGGTCATTTGTAATGTTTGCTTTTGCAGCATCAGGAAGAATCCTTGCACCATGAAAAATTCTCTAATTATGTGTTTTCTGCTTGCTACTAATGAATTGAGCTATAAACTTTCAAATGTGTATTTACATCTAGTGTTTATCTTAGTAAGGAAGAACGCTGAATGATTAATTTAAGGTGATCTATTATTGATGCAGCCCAATATCTGTTTCCTTTTGGGTGAAAACGAATCAAAAGATAGGTCTGAATGTGGTTATATTAATCATAAAATAATATCTTGGCCGAGTAATGCGTTAAAATGTAATGTTCATGAAGCTTACCTCCACCAAGGACTTTACTCCCTGTTTGCCAGAATATTTGAAGGGAGAATTGGATGTGCATTAATAAAGGATTTGACTTATTTTGAAGTAAGTGTCAGACAGAGAAACTGAACTTGGATTGGTCAGACAGCTCTCTGCAGCTACAAAGAAAATAAAGAGATGACTGCACTGAAACTCTGTGTGTAACCCCCACCAACCCCACCCCCCCAATCTGAGCGTGACACTGTTATGTTTACATGGCAACTTGATATACAAATACACCCAAGTCATGGAAAGAAAGGGGATGGAGTGGGCCAGGGGGGTGAAATGTTATTCTTTTAAAAGTCAGAGTTTTTAATCAGGTTATTTTCATCTCCCTCTTTGTGGTAAGAGTGCATAGCATTGGCTTGCAGAGGCAGGTCAGAAAGAAGGTGCACAGAAAGGAGAATTAAACAAAGTTGAAAGTAACTGGTTTTTGAAGAGCTATTTAGAAATTTCTCACTGGTTTGCAAAGTGCAGAAAATTATAAGTTGGAATGTCTGTTTGAAAGGGAAGTTGAAATTATTATTTTTTAATTTAGCAGCTCTGTTTTTGGTCATTTGTCATGTGTCCATATCATCATGTCTCTGCGTCTGAGCCTGCCTTTTATTGGCATGGCCTGAAGCCTGTGATCACAGGTCATACTTAGGTCCATTTCAGCAAAGAGTGCCACAGTGGCATGTGATTTACACCATATTATGCCCCTTCCTAGCTGCCCTCCTCTAGCTTCTTTTAAGCCATTTCTGGAGTTGCTCAGATGCTTGTGTGTAGCAGTGTCTGCCGTTACCCATGTGCCATTTTGAGTGTTGGGCCCGTGTGTGTAGTACAGTTCAGCTATCAATAGGACAGCTGCAGTGGTCTCTTGGGCAGCGGGTGATCCGACACAGCTTATGGTCACATGTTCTGTGTGTGTATGTGTTGGCAGTGTGTGTGTGTGTGTGTGTGTGTGTGTGTGTGTGTGTGTATATACATGAGTGTGCTCTGTGGATGTGGCCGTGTATGTGTGTTTGCTCATGCTGCATTTAGCTTATCTTGATGAGGCTGACTGCTGCCCCGGGGAGAAGTTCTCAATCCAATAGCTGGCTACAGATATAGACATGGACCTAGTCCCTACCATCACTTTTGTCCCTGCTGTTTGCAGTTGATCATATTCATATAGAGTTGCATTTACTTCCTGCTGTGCTGACTGAAGTGCATGGTTTTTTGCATGTTTCATTGATATTAACAGTTTTAATGGTTTATCCCATAACTCAAAGGCATGTCAGGAAATCACAGAGCAAAGCAGAAGAACTGAGGGGAGAATGCCTTGTGGGGCTTGTTAAGTGGAAATTAATAGTGTCATTTGTACACATGAAATGTTTCAGTTTCATAATCTTCATAATTCATTTATTTGTTAAGAGCTTTTCATTTTAAGTGGTTTGCTGTTACAGTTTTATAAGAATCTGTTGAAAGGAAAACAGTTTAAGTGTCCTCGTGACTCTCACATCAAGTCTTCCAGCTACAAAAATTTTGGAAATCATTGTAGGCTTACGCTGCTAGGATACAAAGAAACAAATCTTGTCATATACCAAAAAATGTGGCCACTGATTGGCCCTTGCACGGTGGCAACAAGTTGAAACTCGTAGTGAAATGAAATGTTTTTCAGTCTGTCTCTTCTGTCTGTGTGTGTGTCATCAGGAGCATTCTTAGCATTCCACCTGTTTGTATCGTAGCTACACAACCGCTAATTAAATTTCCTGCCACAAACAGTAGACAAGGCACTGACATTTGCATTACAATTACTGACCCCCTTTCCTCACTCTTTCAGACAGGAATAGTAGCAGCCCCCCATCCTTTCCTCACTTTTTCTTTCTTTTTTGTAGAGTTCTAGGATAGTTTGTTAAGAGATGTTTATTTGGCTTAAAAGAAGAACTTCTATCAGTGTAAACCTGTTACAAAGTAATTACCAGAACCAAGACTAGTGAAGGGAGATTTGGACAGATTTGCAAAGCAGTAGACTCAGACAGTGTTTCTAGGTTGGTTGCTTTTCAGAAGCTCCTTAATGAGGTGATTTGGTGGGGAACAATGGCAGAGGATGCCATTGTCACAGGTGCAAGCAGCTCTGTTTCAGCTAAATGGTGGGTGTCCTCATACAGTGCAGCCCTTAGATCCCATTCTTGATCTTTTAAAACCGTGTCTTCCCACTCATTCACTTCAGAAGCCATGTTCAGTGTGTGTGTGTGTGTGTGGGGTGGGGTGGGGGGGGTTAAAAACATTGTATGCTAATTGTTTTCATGTAAGAATTTTTCAGTCAGGCATGTGTGTTGCCTGGCTGAACAACATTGCAAATTGCAGCAAGAGTAGTAGGTCTAGTAGTAAATTGTTGCCACTGATAAGCAGTCATGTCAACATTATCCTGTTACCACCCTTTACTGTATGTTATATGATTGCCATCTTGATGCAAATTTTCATGCAGGAACACTTGTTAGATCCTTAAGTAATTTGATGGTTAATGTTCTGGAAATGACACTGAATATGATGTGCTAAATTAGCGTGAATGTTGCTGAAATTATGTAAGTCATATTTTTTAATATTAAAAGCATATCACTGGATCTTGATGCTGGCTACAGAAAAGATGATTGAAAATCCAGACCCTGTCTTAGTAATGTCTTATACAGGAATAACTGGTTCAATGGCAATATGTGGACTCTCACACCAATTAAGTCCACTCTATTTGTGGCCAGCTGTAACAGCTGGTAAGCCACTAAGATGGAGTTTGGCTGCAACTTGGATCTGACAGTGCTCAGTTTCTGTATGAAAAGCAGTGGATTTAGGTTGCATGCTAGTTTGACAAAAATGATGCCTTAGCTTGTGTCTTGATGCATGCTATTTAAATAATTTAATGACACTGATATGTGGCAACTGTAGTCTCCAATATCATTTACAAAAAAATAAACACAGTTGCATACTTCAAATTTGTGTGGATGTCAGCGACCCAGTATTTACCTGTGTCCATAATTGGGGAATATTCAGTTTGGAGTATCCTGATATTGCAGAATGTTCTGTCAAATGCAAATTGAATCTATGTTTAATGTTCTTTGTCTTGCACAGGCTTATGTGTGAAAGGCATTAAATACTTAAA